GTTTTTCTGTGTCTCTACAGATTCTGTCAGACCTGTTTAAATTTGATACTGCAGCATGTCCAGACGTGGAAAGGACAGGAGCAGCACTTTCTGTTTTTGTTTCAGAATTGAATCAGTTTGCGTGAAGATCAGAGTCCACATGCTTAGAGTCAGGAGTTGTGCAATTCCTTCAGAGTTGGTGATAAGGCACCAAGTTAAGATACCAGTTTCTTACGAGTTTAGTACACAGGGGATAAATTTGGCTTCTCCAGTTGAATTCAAAATTCCTTTTTGGAAACAGGTTTTGAAGACGTTTTAATGATCTCCTCAGTTGTTAGCTTAGACATGCATGGATGTTAGCCCAGAGATCTGTTGCTGTTGTCTGCACAGATGTTAAAAGCAGACTGATAGTTCAGAATTAAAACACTGCAAAATTCTAAAGGAATTTCGTTCACATGGTGCTGGTCATTAATGAATAACAGAAGGCCATCAATGAGCTGTTAATGGAGGAGCTTCCATTTCACTTCATCTAAACCATTGAACACCTGAGGAGATGAACAGTTGCTTTTAGCCATGAAAAGTTTTGAGATATCTCTTTTGTTGCTAATGCAGACTTTCAGACAGGAAGTATGAGCTCTCTTCATTTCAATGTTTTCCAAATGAGAAATTCCACAAGGATGTTAATTCTAACCACGTGTCTCTACAAACCACACTTAGAAGCATCCACACTTTGGTCAACTTTTAAGTCATGTGATCAGCGGTAGCCATATCCAGCAAAATAAATTTTAAACTAAAGGAAAGAATCATTTCTAAAGATTTGCAATATCCTTCAGTGAATTTGGACATGATATGGAATTGAAATTATGTTGCTAAATCATTTGTTTTGGCCTTGGTTTATTTGTCTAGTAACAGAACCGTTGTGTATGGGCTCCTTCAAACTGCAGTGGTTCAGTGTGGATGAGGATAGCCATCTTTCTGGTCTACATAGAAAAGTCATACTGAGTAAACAATATCAGTTCATTGCGTTACTGCCATGATTGACAAAGTACAGGAAGACTGCTAGGAGCACATTAGGTTTAGGTCTGTTTCCTACAAGCTCCTTCTGTACTCTGATCAAGTCCCCGTGACATCATCACAATGTTATCCATTTCAGACCCAATTTTGGACAATAGCTATAAGACTATAATTTCTTTCATTTACTTAATGGTGACCTAGGAGTTATTTTAAAGGGCATAATAATAAACAATTTTTGGCAAATGTTTGGTTACTTGTGGATGAATAAGCAACGGGCAGGATGTAATCGTGCTGACTGGAGTAGGCTTGGGGGTTAAGGGGGCCATAGAATTAGGAAGGAGTTTAAGGGGTGAAGTGCCCATTGCCTTGTGGATGATCCAATCGGAAGTAGGAAAATTCAAGAATGGTTTACTCACTGAGTGGCCAATTCATACACTTAAGTGCCCAATTGGTGACCTCATCCCATTATTTTTCTACAGTATATATTGTTCTACTAGCAGCAGATAGAGGACGTTGTGCCATGTGAGCAGATATCACAGTAGAAGTTGAACACTTCCTACTAAGCTTAGGAGATGCTGTACTGATTGAACTCATGGATTTCCTCCCTGGTGGAAGCACACCACCCTGCCCTCAACAATGATGCTTTCCCCCCTCCAGAGCTTGCATGACAGGCACCAGCAAACCAAACCCCACTTACATGGGTTCCACTTCATTCATTATGTTGCTGGCCCCGGCTGGCTGCAGGACCAGTGGTGACCATCACTTCCACTGGCACTTCTGAACTTGAAAAACTGTCAGCCTTTGAGTTGGCCGACAGTTCTTGGAGGCAAAATGTCCATTCTTCAGCAGATTGGTGCCTCAAAACCAGGCAACTATCTGCTTGATAGATATGTTAACAACAGAAGCAACTGTTGCGTAATTGCTTCAAGGTTCTCCAACTTACTACTGCCACAAAATTTCATGCAACAGTTCATATTTGCTTATAGATATGCAATGTTGTGACACAAATTGTATTCTAATATATAACCACAGAACTTGTAGCAAGGTTCAGTGTGTGGAATATGCAACGTTGTCGTTCTGACTTTGTCATCAAGGTGTGGCAACTACATTTTCATGAATAGACATGACTTGTTCATATTCATTCTTTAAAGAAAAAAAACTCCTTTGTATAGAAAGTTCAGACTTAATTCTGCACAGAGGTAAAAAATAATGAAAAGACTTAGATGCATGTCCTAAAGACATTTTGAATTACCTTACAGCCAATGTCAACATTGTTGTTATTCGATACAGGGGTTCTCCAATTCTGTTCTCTGATTATGTTTTCTATCTGGCTTTTCAAATAATGATACAGGGGATCAGTTAACTCAGCTGGCTGGATGGCTCATTTACAATGCAGTCTGATGCTGACAATCGGGGTTCACTTCCTCTATAGCTGATGTCACCATGTAGGACTCACCTTCTCAACCTCATGTGTTGCCTGAGACATGGTGACTCTCAGGTTAAATTCACCATCAGTCATCTCTCTTTCCCTAATGAGAAAGCACCTTTATACTTCTCTGCAACTGCGGAAACTTTACCTTTACTGCTCACCATTGTTTGCATGCAACCTTTTTATGGTAAAATGTAACTTTACTACAAGAGGAAGGGTGGGTGCAATGCTTGAATCAGCATCTTCTGGTGTGGAGAAATAAGGGGTGGTCTGCATGAGATGGCATTGCTGCTGGTCCTTCAGCAGGAATACATTCCAAGTTTTCAGATGAAACAAAGATAGCTGGAGGGACAGGTAGTGTTTATAAGGTGGGAAGGCTACAGAAGGACTTGGATAGGCTAAGGGAGTGGGCAAAGAAGTGGCAAATGGATTACAATATAAGAAAGTGAGAGGTTGTGTATTTTGGTAGGAAGAATAGAGGCATAGATTATTTTGTAAATGGACAAAGGCTTGGGAAACCTAAAACACAAAGGGACTTGAGAGCCCTAGTTCAGGATTCTCTTAGATTAACAAGTAGATTCAGGTGGCAGTCAGAAATGCAAATGCACTCATTTCGAAGGCTAGGATACAAGAACAGAGTTGTACTGTTGAGGCTATGTAACACTGATTAGGTCACATTTGGAATAATGTGAGCAATTTGGACCCGTATCTAAGCAAGGATATGTTGGCCTTGGAGACGGTCCAGAGGAGGTTGAAAGAATGATCCCAGGGATGAAGAGCTGGTCATATGAGGGGCAGTTGAGGACTCTGGTCCAATACTCAATAGAGTTTGGAAGGATGAGGGGGGAATCTCATTCAAACTTACAAAATACTAAGAGGCCTTGATACAGTGGACGTGGAGAAGATATTTCCATTAGTAGGAAAGACTGAAAACCTGAGGGCACAGTCTCAGAGTAAAGGGATGACCCTTTAGAACTGAGATGAGGAGGAATTTCTTCAGCCAGAGAGTGGTGAATCTGTGAAACTCATTGCCACAAAATGTTGTGGAGGCCAAGCCATTGAGTCTATTTAGGACAGATATTAATAGGTTCTTGATTAGTAAGGTGATCAATGGATATGGGGAGAAGGCAGGAGAATGGGGTTGAGAGTCATATCATCCACGACCGAATAGTGGGGCATACTCGATGGACCGAATGGTATAATTCATCTATCTGGCCTAAAGAAGACAAGATTCAAAAGCTTAAAGGATGGTAATGCATTAATTCCAATTAAAAGACAACATTCAGAGATTGGCAGATTGGCTTCTGAGAATTCCATGGAATCTTGAAAACCAACGTAAATACAATGAGTGACATTTTCAATATGTTAATCAAGAGACAATTGACAAGTCCATTAGACTATTCAATTAGCATGTGTCTATCACTTAAATGATTTGTCTTAACCACTGAAAACTCATGTCACCAAACAGTAAAACTAACTTATACTTAGAGATTTGGATCTTCCTTTATGTCACTATATTTCTTGGAATTATAATACAAAAAGACTTTTTTGTTTAGAGTAAAACCTGATGTTGGGTGTTCTCTAACACAAGAGCTTTATATGTTAATGAACTATTCATGGACCAGGATATCAGGTTGTTACATCTTATGAAAAGGTACAATTTTCTGGCAGGGTTTGTTGAAACCACTGTCACGGGTGTGATATTTTTGTCACTTTAAGATATTTGTCCAGCAGAGTACAGGGGTAGCCAACAATGACAGCACTGCAAATATGGAACTTTTCAGAAATTAATTTACTAACAAAGTTGGATGAACTAAAACGGGACAACCAAGCAAAAGGAATGGCTGTATCAGAAGCTGCAAACCTAAGAGTTTGAAAAGTCAAGTTGCTAGGTACTGAGTAGAAAAGCCATAAGCGGGTTGTGTAAACTACCTGTGAGAAGTAGCAAAGGTAGGAAGTGTGACATGAATCTCTAAAAGAAGTGTCACTCAGTACAGGATACAGTGCAATGATCTCAGAAGCACAGTCAAGATAATTTAGGGTTCTTTTCAATACGCCTAACAGATCTTTTCCTCAGTTGTTTATGATTCAAATGCTTTGCCCCTGACAATTTTATGGAAGTTTAATAGGAATAGAAGGGCTGGGGGTTCTGATCTCACAAGGAAAGCACAAAGTAGTATCATTTGTGACATTTTACCTCAGCCAGATCATTAGCATTTTACCTTTGGGTTTGCTACTCAGTCAGGACAGTCAGTATGACAAGAACCTACATGATGTGATCACAACTCTAGTAATTAAAAGTTGAATGCAAATGGTAGGTACAAAGAAGCATAGGAGCAGGAGTAGGTCATTCATTTCTCAAGCCTGCTCTGTCATTCTAGACCATTGCTGATCATTTACCTCAGTGCCAAATTCCTGTGCTATTTCTATATCCTTTGATGTCATCAGTAACTAGAAATGTATCAATATAGAATCCCTACACTTTTTGCTCTGGGTAATTTAGCATGTCCAATTCACCTAACTTGCACATCTGTGCACATTCTGTACCCAGCAGAAACCCATGCAGGCACGAGGAGAATGTGCAAACTCCATACAGCCGGTCACCAGAGGGTATGATTGAATCCGGGTCCCTGGAGCTGTGAGGCAGCAGTGCTAACCACTGAGCCACCATGATAAGAATATTATCTTGAGCTTACATAATGACTGAGCTTCTACCAGAACTACAAAGGTACGCCATGCTCTGAGTGAATAAATTCCTCCACATTTCAGTTATAAGTGGCTTGTCTTTTATTCTGAGAGTGTGTCCCCTTGTTCTCTACTACAAAGTCAGGGGAAAATTCCTTTCTGCATCTACCCTGTTGAACCGTTAAAAAAGTTTTTTTTAATGAAATCACCTGTCATATAGCCCTAGTGTCCTCAATCTTTCTTCATAGGACCATCCCACCATCCCAGAATCAGCCTTTCTAAATCCCTTGAAGTCTCATTGCATTTTCCTCACAACTCACATTCTCACCTAATTTTGTGCCGTGGACAAACATAAAAATATTACATTTGATCTCCATATCCAAGTCACTGATGCAGATTGTGAAAAGCTGAGTCCTAAGCACTGATCCTTGTAGTATCCCACTGGTCACAACCTACCAGCCTGAGAATGACCCATCTTTATTTTTTGCGTGTTAACGAATCCTCAATCCATCCAGTATACTACACTAACACCCATGCACTCTAATTTCATTTACCAACTTCTTGAATGGACTTTTATCAATAACCTTCTGAAAATGCAAATAGGCCAGATCCACTAATTCTCCTTTATGAAATTTGCTAGTAACATCCTCAAAAAACTCTCAGGGGTTTATCAAACCTTATTTTCCTATCATAAAGCAATATTGACCACACAATCAGTAAGTTATTTTCTAAATCTCCAGTAATCATATTCTTTGTCAAAGAGTTCATTATTTTCCCAACTACTGAGTCAGGCTAACATTTATGTTATTCCTTATTTTCTCTCTCCCTCTTTCTGGAACAATGGGGTCAAAGTTGTAACCTGACGATCTGCAGACACTACAGAATTAATAAAATGTTGAAAGATGGTCATCGTTGTATCTTCCTCTATCAAGAAAGGCATAAAGTACTAATGTAGCTTCTCTGCCATTTGTCATTCCTATTATAAATTTCACTGTCTCTGCCCATAAGGGATCCATATTTGTCTTTGCTAATGCTTTTCTTTTTACAAAGCTATAAAAGATTTTACAATCTATTTTTATGCTTCTTGAAGTTTGCATTCATATTCTACTTTCTCTTCCTACGTCAACTATTTGTTCCTAGTTTGCTGAATTCTAAAATTCTCCCGTACCTCAGTCTGACCACATTTTTGGAAACTTTACAAGCATTCTCTTTTCATATAATGTTATTTTTAACACCCTTTGTTAGTCAGGTCTCTCTTGGTATTCCTGTCAGACAATTTTGCCTCATAAGGATATAATATTTTTGACAACCAAGCAGGAATGCTTTACATGCTAGCCATTGTCTATCCACTATCAATCCTTTTGAAGTACTTTTTCAACACATCACAGGTAACTTTCTCCTTAAACTTTCATCATCGCCCTTCTTTAATTTTAAGAATTTTTGATAGAATTTTCCTAGGCCTTGAGTGGTATGGGTAATAACACGGAATTTGGGAAAATATATCAAGAATGGAAAAATAAGATTCCCTATTTTGAGAAAAAAAGTCCAAATGTCCCCTTGGGATCTCAAAGCTACGTGAGATGGTCACAACCAAGTGGTGAGGGCATATTTCCATCCATTTACAACTTATTATTAGCTAATCCCACCTCACATAAAGTGCACAATTGTCCCATGCACTGGTGAGAAACTGGATGACACCAATTTCTGACTGGAAAGTTGTGTTGCGACCTTAAAACTATAAGACCACAAGACATTGGAGCAGAAATCGGCCACTTAGCTCATTGTGTTTATGCTGTGATAGGGAACGTGAGAAACTCGAGTGGGATTTGGAGCCAGAACACAATGGCGTGTGGGGTAATGACAATCAAGTGAGTGCAACTCCAAGCATAAGGGTGGGATCTGAAATAGTGTGGCAAGTGTGGGGTTCTTACAGAGGTGGTATGGCAGCAAGTCACCATTGCTTTGGCATCAATGGCAGCACAGTAGGTAATGATAGTGGGGATGGCTCTGCGCTGGAAAACAGGCGACTGGGTGACTGCTGTAGATCACCTATGTACTGTCCATTAAAATGACCCCAAAACTTTCAGTTGCCTGTCATTTCAGCACACCACATGTTTCCACACCAGCACAGCCTACCTGATCTCAGCCCTCATTATCACTTTTTCAGCTTCTCTTCTGTCCTGATCTATTATCAATAGTTCCCTCATTTGCCTACTCCTTTCATATCTATCCCTTGGAGCTCCGTCTCCAGCTATTGGCTCAGCTCCACCCCACCCACACCCAACCTCGTCTTCAGCCTAAATACCACCTTTTCCCAGCTACTATCAGTGCTGATGATGAGTCACTGGACTCAAAATGTTAACTCTGCTTTCTCCCCACAGATACTGCCAGACCTGCTGAGATTTGCCGGCAATTTCTGGTTTTGTTTTAGATCACCAGCATCTACAGTTCTTTGCTTAATTTTGGAGGTAAAATAGGGGTAATTATTGTTAAACATAAAGGTTAGATAGAAATGTGAGGATCCTGAAAGCTGATGAAGTTGACAGGGACAGCTAGATAAAAGTGAACATGAAGAGTGGAGGAATTCTTAACTTTCAGACAAAGTCAGGAACTCATTCTCAGGAGCTCAATCTGGGTATTGCTCCATTTTCCACCAAATCTCAACTACATAGTAAGGATGAAAAACAGCCAACCCTTCACCGTGGGTGGAGATTTTGTTTATCTGCAGGCATTAGTTGCACTGGTGGGCATTGTGAGCCCTTCAAGGGGCACTTGCAGTAATAATAGATTCCATTGATTCAATGATGACAGACATCTGTCATAGAGTCATAGAGTCATACAGCATGGAAACAGTCCCTTCGGCCCAATTCATCCATGCCGACCAGGTTTCCTAAACTGAACTAGTTCCATTTGCCTGCATTCATCTCATATCATTAAATGACTCTGCATGTGTAGCTCACGCATTGATCTATGATTTATATTACAGTCCTGATGACAGGTAATCACGACTACGTCATTGATCATGACAAGTTATTCCTGGTAATCTCTGTTAAGCAGAAGTGATTTGACAATTCTCAAACACTTTCCAAATGTCTAAAGCTACATAAGGACATGGAGCTGCTCTCATCTCGCAGTATACTGTAAGTATGTGAGAACACCGGTCCTTATATTCCTGTTGCATTCCATAGGAGATTTGCAGAGGAATGTGAGACAGGATGGTAGTACGCCATCTACAGTTATGATATCCCAATGTATTTCAGTGGCAAGACTTGTGTTGCATATATGTGCATTAAGTGCAATGTTTGAGAGGCTCATGTAGAACCATGTCACAGGTCCTTGCAGCAGGGTGAAGCCACCATATCCAATTTTATTGTGGCCTATTATGAGACCTCATTTTTGTGTGGTACGATTGCTTAGGAATCACCTCACTGAGAAGCTGCTCCATTTCCAATATTACCCACAAAGGATCAGTGAACCCATTGCAAGTGGATCTGGCAATACCAGTGAAGAGGCTGCTTCACTCTGCTATAGTAGCCAATTAACCCACAGTACTCTGGCTGTGTTGATTTAAAATGAACATATATTTACAGATGTGAGATTCTATTTACAATGCTGTGTCTCCAGTGCCACCTATATAACCTCAGATTGTCATTTCCAGGGTCTCAAGCAATGCCAGATGGTGTTTCTAGGTTCATTCCTTTGCTCCTTTCTAGCAGTTGATACAACTTGCTGGTCCATTTCAGAGTCAACGATATTGCTGTAAGACTGGAGTCACACATAAGCTAGACGAGGTAACAACAGCACCTCACAAATGACAATGCTCTCACAGTCATCATTAGACTTTTAATTCCAGTTTTTTTAAAATACAAAGAACTGTGGATGCTGAAGATCTGAAACAAAAACAAAAAGTACTGGAGAAACTCAGCAGGTCTGACAGTATCCCTGGAAAAAAAAAAGCAGGGTTAATGTTTCGAGTCTGGTGACTCTGCATCAGACTCGAAACATTAACTCTGCTTTCTTCCCACAGGTGCTGCCAGACCTGGTGAGTTTCTCCAGCAATTTCTGTTTTAGTCTCTGGGTTACTAGTCTAGCAATAATACCACTAGGTTATCACCTCCCCTTAGGCTGCCTTAAAGAGGATGACAGACATCTCAGTCTTTACAATATAACACCAATCTGCACCACTTACCACTACAGAGGCATCAGAGAAATGCGAGCAGAAGTTCCCTCAGAGCCATTGCTACTTTGCTACAGTCAATTCACTGAATCCCAAACCAATATTCCATTATAATTCTATCAAATTCATATTAGTGGAGTGGGCAAGTCTCTTAGGAATTCCAAGCATACATGTTTTGATATTGTTTATATTTGTGTATTTAAGAATTTCCAAGAACTGACTTCACTAGTTTTATTTTGTTTTAGTTCGCAGTATTGTCTGACTGTCCTGATTTGATTTATGTAACCAAATCTCTTAACAATTAGCAATGCACTTGAACAAACAATAAAATCAAAAGGAACATATTGTGTATATGCGTGTGAACTTTGTACTCATGGTTGCAAAGGATATTATTTGTGGGGGAATTGTTCTCTTCTCATTTCAGGTTTCCAATGAAATTTTCTGGAAATATGGCTGATTTTGGAAAATCTTGTCTACCATCAATAGAAAGCAGAAAAGCATCAGTAAGTGATACCCTGAGTCAGATCAGACTGTTCCTTGAACATTCCTCTTTGTTTTCATTGAGAAGGGGGTCATTCAGGTGCTTGCAATAATGCTGAGAAGAGCTACAATGTTTATCTTCTGCGCAGGGGTCTGAGTTGCAAGTGAGGCTAGAAAATAGAGAATTGAAAGTTGATTGTTTTAGGTATATAAGACCAGTTATGATTTTAGAAAAGAAATCCAGGTGACCAGGAAATGTACTTCCAATTAAGTTACTGGAATAGAACAAGAGCTCATGTGAATAGAAAGCCTGATATGAGGAATTCTTATTCACAATAACTTTTTAACATGTGAAAGCATCTTTAAAACAAGAGAGTGAATATAGAAGCTCTGGAATCATTTCAGAAAGACAGTTACTTTAGGGGTTGTGGAGTAGGCTACTGTAGGTATCTGAGTAGATGACACAAATTAAAATGGACTAAATGACCTGCAATAGTTTTTCAACTTATGGATTTCACTCATGGCACTCGCTAACTGTCAGCTTTTCCCTTATCAGCCTCCATGAGAAAAACTCTTTAAGAAACCTACAATAGTTTGTTGACATACACATGAGATGATGGCTAAATATGTCAAAATGCACGGTTGCTTTGCTTGAGAGTGATTTTGACATGATTCAAAGAGTGTGGAATTATTCCAGTTTTTCTCCATCTCTAACTAAATAAGATTGACTGAACTCATTTCCTCTAGGACAACAGGGTAAATTTTGACTTTTTTTTATTAGGGTAAATGAGTCCGAGTCAATTAACAGCAAAATGTTTATTGTTGTTGCCAAACACAAGATCTATCACAATTCCTCTCTGAACTAGGAAAGATTCAGCATTTGTACTACCTTTACAATATAGTTACAAAGACATATGATTAATGTCTAATTTCTTTTGTTTGATCTATTGTTCTTTTGTTATTCAGTATTTCATTCAGACAAGATAGGCTAAATGAAGAAGATTTTTGGAAATAATCATTGAATCTTAATGAGTTCAGAACTTACAAACATGTATTTTGATTTGCCAGAATCTCTCTCTTGGGTTAATCCTCCCAAATTTTCTTTTGCTGCACTGAATTTAACACAGTCATGGATTTCAAAGTTGGAAACATAAAACAGTGACTCAACAATCAAGAGACTTTCCTTTTCCCTCAAACGAGGATTCTATCCTATCATGTTTGTCAGTTTCCTTGCCTGTGTCCATCCCAATTCTGTCTCAAGCACTGCACACCACTTCTAACCAATGGCCATGTGACCCCTTCTCTCTCATCGATAACACGGTGTGCAGATGGAGGAATACAGCAGGCCAGGCAGCGTCTGAGGAGCAGGACAGTTGACGTTTCGGGTCGGGACCCTTCTTCAGAAATGGGGAGGGGTAAGGGAGCTCAGAAATAAATAGTGAGAGGAGGCGTGGGGCTGGGAAAGGTAGGTGGGATAGTGATAGGTGAGTGCAGGTAGGGATTGGTGGGGATTGGTCAGTGAAGTGGGAGAGGTGGATAGGTGGGAGAGAATATGGACAGGTTGTGTCAGGTCAAGGAGGCGGGGATAAGAGGGTGGGTTGGCCGTGGGAAAGGGTGGGGAGATTTTGAAACTCGTAAAATCCATGTTTTAGCCATTGGGCTGTTGGCTCTCGAGGTGGAATATGAGGTGCTGCTCCTCCAGTTTGCAGGTGGCATCATTGTGACACTGGAAGAGGCTCAGGATGGACATGTCACCGAGGGAGTGGGAGGGGGAGTTAAAATGGTTGGTGACTGGAAGGTGTTATCGTTTGTCACGTGCAGAGCACACGTGCTCTACAAAGTGGTCTCTGAGCCTCCGCTTGATCTCACTGATGTGGAGGAGGCCACATCAGGAGCAGTGGATGCAGTAGACCAGATTCACAGATGTGCAGGTGAACCCCTGTCGAATGTGGAAGGTTTGTTTTGTGCCTTGAATAGAGGTGAGGGGGGAGGTGTAGGGGCAGGTTTAGCACTTCCTGCGGTTGCAGGGAAAGGTGCCGGGGGTGGTGGGGTTAGTGGGGAGTGTGGAGTGGACAAGGGAGTCATGGAGAGAACAGTCCCTACGAAAGGCAGATAGGGGTGGCGAGGGAAATATATCTTGGTTGTGGGGTCGGATTTTAGGTGGCGGAAGTGGCGGAGAATGATACGTTGGATGCGGAGGTCGGTGAGGTGGTATGTGAGGACAAGGGCGATTCTGTCTTTATTTTTGTTGGGGCGAGGGGATGTAAGGGCAGAGGTGTGGGAAACGCAAGAGATGCGTGTGAGGGCATTTTCGATCACCGAATAGGGGAGTCTCCCATTTCCTACAGACTAAGAAGGTGTCTATGGGAGCCCACTTTGTAGGACACATGGAACAGTCCCTCTTCCGCTGCTATGCTGGCACTATCCCCCACCTCTTCCTCCACTACATTGATGACTGCATTGGTGCCGCCTTGTGCTCCCATGAGGAGCTTGAACAGTTCATCAACTTTACTAACACCTTTCACCCCAACCTCAAGTTCACCTGGACCATCTCCAATACTTCCCTCTCCTTCCTGAACCTTTCTGTCTCCATCTCTGGTGACCGCTTTGAAACTGACATCTATTTCAAGTCCACCGACTCCCACAACCACCCAGACCACACCTCCTCTCACCCACCTTCCTGCAAGAATGCGATTCCCTACTCTCAATTCCTCTGCCTCCGCCACATCTGCTCCCAAGATGGGGCGTTCCACTCCCGCAATCCCAGATGTTCTCCTATTTGAAATTATAACCTCACCTTCTCTCTCATTTGTCTTGCAGGTTCTGCAACCCTCCTGATGATGCCTGCAGAGATGAAGCAGACTCTGAAACAACTGCCCTTGTGGATCTCTGTGGATAAGAATACCAAGGAACCAGCCCAGCTGTCTCCTTCACTGCCCACCAGCCCAAATACTGACACCTTGGTGAGAAGCATTGGCATAAAGAATTTGTGGGTTCACAATCTGGTGAACACCAACCGTTACAGCTCGACTCCTGGCCAATGAAGACACAGACTAGGCCACCGGGCATGGGGACCACTGGATGCTGGCCACAGACTGGGCCACTGGCATCAGCCGCCTGCTCTGCTCCAGGCAGGAGAGGACCCAGTGGTGTTGGCGACAGTGGACTTCAGACAGGCATATTGTGTGGAAATGCCCTCAATGCCAAAAAACTGGATTAATGCAGCGGATTTTGTGACTATCTGGCTGCCTCCACAGGCAGGTTGATGTCTGCCATGGACAGCCAGGTCCAGCACCGTCAGGGGCTACTGGACAGGAGAAATTGGGCAACTTAAAGAAATAAGCAATTCTGGCTAAACACAGAAATTTTTAGGAAACTCTATTATGGATGCAAAAGGTAGGAAATCTTCCGATAAAGCAATGAAAAGTGGGAAACCTCCCTTATTGTTAGAAAAGGTGATAATCCTTCATTAAATTCACAAAGAGCAGGAAATCCCTCCAGGAAAGCAGCAAAGCATGGGAGAACAGCCATCAGTGCAAAATAAATATCTTTATAGAATATAAAGTACCAATTCACATTATGAAGCCCTGATATCTAAAACTGCATTGTCAAAAAGGCTGAACAGTTTCTAAACAGGAAAATATACTTCTGTACACAATTTGAAGTAAAGCAATGCTGTTATAGCTCACCAAGGGACAAAAGAAGAACTCAACAGATTCAAAGAGACACTGAAAGCCTCCGACAATTATTTCAACCTCAGAACTAATAACACTCTTGATGAAGAAAGATTGAACAGAAGAATACAACATCCAATAGAATTCATAGATATTTTCAAAAGTAATATCTACAGACAGGTGGGAGACAAAACAATGGTGTTATAAAGTCAAAATTCAGAAGGAACTGAATTATTGTGGGTGCTACTGTGGAGTCTTTGTCATCACAATTCTATTACACCAGGTTACACAAGTACCCACACAACTAACCATTGTAAAGATATGGATGGCAACCCACACAACAACCTGTTCAGCAACTTTAACTAGATTGGCTTCAGTGGATGAGAATGACAAGTGATGATGTGAACATTATGCAAGGCTTCCCTCCTCTGCATTGTTAGATTGTGTAGGACACAGGAGACCATCACCATGCATGAGATCTTTGTTGGATTGGTCAAAGTGTCTGAGTTTAATATTCTACAGACTCACTGGCTGGCTTGATAGCTATCGGGTGGACCCAAGGCTGGTATTGTATCTCTCCTCTGTTGCAGTGTGAGTGTCCCTCATAGCAGCCATTTCTTCAATCAGAATCCATCCCTAAAGATGTAGTGGGGGTTGGAAAAGCTGTGGTACCCGGGACTGCCCCAAGAATTTAGGTATCATGGTTACATCCTGGGAAACGGACGCATACCTTGTGGTGCACATTGAACAGTTGGACATTGAAGGAGTGGAAAACTTTCCTGTTGTTGAAGGTCACGGTTAATCCAGCTCCACCTTAATAGTTGCATGAACCTGTGGGAATCTATTGATGACCCTGAAGCTGATGGCCATTTCTACCATATCAGGACTGTAGTGTATACAGTCACTGCTCATCGTGAACATGGCATGGTCATTTCTTTGATGTAGTGAAGGGCTGCAGACTAGAAGGTACTATGCATATCCTTAGTAGATTCCTGGAAAGATCTAGATGTGTAGAAGTTGAGTGCTATGTTGACCTTGAAGGTCATGAGCATTGGGTGCCTACAAAAGCCTAAGAGGCACAACTCAGTCTGCAGCATGGCATACCACTCAGTTATGCCTTCTCTTGAAGGCTGCAGTCTTCATTAATACTGTTGCCTGAGCAGTTGTAGATAGTTGATGTATGTATTCTGCCATGGATAGGCCCTGCATAACCCCTATGGCTGACTTGTTGCTCTTGCAGTTGGCGCAGTGGAATTGGTGCTGTGTGGTCTTTCCTGCGTCTGCACCTTTCCTTTCCCATGGATGTTGGTCTCTCTCTCTCTCTCATGCACTGTCCTTAGAGCCAACTTTCCCTTGTTGCTCCCCTCTCAGTAGGTGCTAATATATCCCTGCGTCCTTTACCAGAAGGTCCATCCTGGGCACCTTGAAGGCCTACCAACGCTGGTTGGCAATTGCATCAGTTCCCTAACCTTCCCCTTCAAGGCAATCAACAATCTCTGGCATGAGCAGAACACTGATGGAAACTCTCCTATAACCTGCGCATGAATTATAGCAGTACCTCACATTTTCCCTTCAAGATCCCATACCTGTAAGAGCAGGGGAGGGGTAAGGAGAAATAAGAGTCTGTGTGAGGAGTGGGAGGAAATGCTACTGCGAGTGTGGAACAGTGTGGGATGACTTTATGCTTTTTAGAGGGTGGGGGACTGGACTGCCTCCCAAAGTACATGAGATGCCTGAGGAGCGAAGTTTATGGGAGGTGGCGGGAGTGGAGATGGAGACTGTGAAGGGAGGATGTTACTTTCAGTGAAACGGGGTATTTCCTCTGTATGTAACCTTGTGCTGTGCAGAGAGAGGGTTGTGTTTTATTTTGTGAATCTACAGCCTTTGTGGAGCATTGTAGAAAGGGGAGCTCGTTCCAGGGCTGTATCCTGAGTCGGGAGGGTACTGAGGGTAATTACACGGCCCAGGACTGCTCCTTGTTGTACTGTAGCGTGTCGAGCTGTGAAGGGTCAACTTTCAGAGGTGTGGAGTGATTGCAGTTTCAAGGCCAGTCTGACACTGGGATATTCCCTTGGGAGATACTGGGACCTGACATGTGAGAGACTCCTGGCTATTATCTAACATCTGTTTAAATATTTTAGGCTATCTTTGGTGTTGATATGAACAAAGGCTTGACACTGATTGAAATATTTGAAGTACTGTCTGCTGATGATATCCAGAAATGTATTGGCTGTGACTTCAGTGTGAGTATCTGATGACTGCGACTTACTCAGGCTAACTCATTTTGAATTTCCAGTTTCAGTTTGTTGGCAAGGATTGAAACAATTCCATTTCATTATTAAACTCCCTGGCTCCTCTCATCTGCACACTGACTGGTGTTCCTTCTCTCTGTCTCTCAGGGCCATATCCATATCCTGACTGGTGTCTCTCAGCAACTCCTACCTCACACCCCCATGCCTCTCTCTCTATCAGGGCGATACCTTTAGACTGATTGGTGTCTCTCAGCACCCACTCCCTCAGGGAGATACCTGTACACTGACTGGTGTCACTCAGACATGACCCCGCCATCTCTCAGGGCAGTATCTGTGTACTGACTGGTGGCTTTCAGTCCCTTCACTCTCTCAGGGAGATATCTGTACACCGACTGATGTCTCTCACTCCTCTCTCTATCTCTCTCTCTCTCAGGGCGATACTTGTGCACTAACTGTTGTTTCTCAGGCCCCTCTCTCTCTCTCAGGGCAATACCTGTGCACTGACTGTTGTTTCTCAGGCCACCCTCTTTCTCGCAGGGCGATACTTGTGCATTGACTGGTATCTCTCAGTCCCCTCCAGTATAGGAGTTGGGAGGTTATGTTGTAGCTGTAGAGGACATTGGCTATGCCACTTTTGAAATACTGCACTCAGTTCTCGTCTCCCTGCTTTAGAAAAGGTGGTGTGAAACTTGAAAGGATTCAGAAAAAAGTTGCAAGGATGTTGCCAGGGTTAGAGGGTTTAACCCAGAGGGACAGGCTGAATAGCCTGGGTCTATTTTCCCTGGAGTGTCAGAGGCTGAGGGGTGAACTTACAGAGGTTTATAAAATCATGAGACACATGGATAGGGTGAATAATCAAGATCTTTTTCCCAGGGTAGGGGAATCCAAAATTAAGGGGCATAGGTTTAAGGTGAGAGGGGAAAGATTTAAAAGGGACCTAAGGAGCAACATTTTTGTGCAGAAGGTAGTGCATCTATGGAATGAGGTGCCAGAGCCAGTGGTGCAGATTAGTACAACTACAACATTTAAGAGACATCTGGATGGGTTCACGAACAGGAAGGTGTTAGAGGGATTTGGAACACATGCTGGCAAATGGGGCTAGATTAATTTAGGATATCTAGTTGGCATAGATGAGTTGGATCAAATGGTCTGTTTCCATGTTGTACATCTCTGTGACTAATTCTGCAGCCAGAAATTCATCACTTGACTGACCAAAGCCTGTGCACCATCTAGAAGGCACGAGGCAGGAGTGTGATGGAATATCTTCCACTCGCCCGCATAAGCGCAGTTCCAACAACACTTAAGAAGTTTGACATTAGGACAAAACAGTCCATCTGTTTGGCACACCATGTAATGTTTTCAACATTCACTCTCCTTCACCAATGACACACAGTGGCAACATTGTATAACAGCAACAAGATGCACATCAATAACTCACTAAGGCTTCCTAAACAATACTTTCAAATCTGTAACCTCTACTACCTAGAAAAACAAGGACAGCAGGTTCATGAGACACCACCCCAGCAAAATCCCCCACAAGCCATATACCATCCTGACTTGAGAATACATTGCCATTCCTTCACTGTTTCTGGGTCAAACTACTGGAACTGCCTTCCTAATATCACTGTGAGTGCCCCTTCATCTCAAAGACTGCAGCAGTTCAAGAAGACAGCTCACCACCACCTTCTCCGGGGCAATTAGAGTTGAGCAATAAATGCTGCCATAGCCTGTGACACCCAAATTTTATGTCTGAATAGGGAAAAAAAAAAGTTGCCTTGTTATACTACCAGGTTATGTTTCCCTTAGGAGAGCAGTGCAGTAGGTCAGGGAGGAACTGAGATAAAGCATAACAGCAAACTAACCATTCAGTCAATAGAAGAAAGGACAAGGAAGTTCACTGACTCAAGAGAAAGAGCACTTGAGGTTATATTCTCTTCATGCATTGACAAGTGGATAACAAGTTTATGCAAATTAGAAAACTTGACACGTTTGACTGCAATCTCATGCAAAGCATTACGCCAAGCCTGCAGTTCCATACC